TTCTTTTGGATATTATGTTCACTCTGAAATTATCACTTCATTTGCAATATACCATCAAAATCATCTTGAGTTAGTATACTGTAAACTAATTAATTCGACTCTAACGCTTACCTTTAAATCATGAAACCAGGACTAACCATGAAAAATTCTTAGCAAGCTTTTGCATCGTGAAGGTTGATATGCTATGCCGTTTATTCACATGTATTCAGGGCTCTTGTTCCTTGCCAGTAAATTTGAATGTCGCCAAGAAAGGAATCTGATACTTTGCTACTGGTATTGGATGTCTGTCAGAAAGTGGTCTCCCTCGAGCTCGCACCCGAAGATGCCTTATCAAAACTGCAGGAAATCGGGGTGAGTCTTTTCTTTGATATTTGTTTCTGAACAACCTTTCTTTTGAGCTAATTAGTTTTCCCCCAAGGCTATTCTTTCATAGAATGGAGGTTTTTTCTTCATGTTCCTATGCAGAGCTTGAGAATTTTAATACTGAAGTAGTTGTTTGTCCTTGCCATCGTAAATTCATGTTTAGGCGTCGAATCCTCTATTACCGTCACTGTTACTCGATGTTCTAGTAGTCATAGAAGGTGATGTACAAACCAGTGAAAAGAAGGAGAAGGCCGTTCAGAAGTTCACAGATTTTGTCAATATGATATCAGATAAGGTGAGCATTTCTCTCTCATGATTTGTTTTTTCTTTTGTATGTTTTTAAGGCTTCTTTTTTAAATCTGTTGTCCTTTTATGGAATGGTATTAAGACTAACTCTTTAATGATCTTTCGTGAGGGTTTGCAAGAGCCACCATATAAGAGTTGTGACGATGCGGTCATAGTGGCTACTAAACTTGTTCTTAATGAGACTGCACTTGGACTTTCAACTCCGCTTGATGCTCCTAAGACTTTGCTCCACTCAGCTTCGTCTGATCCATTTTCAAACTACATGGTAGTGTCCCATCCTGTGGTCTCTCCAAACATTTCCAACTTGTTTTGTTTAAAACGCTTGAGCCATAGTTTAGCTATTGAGAGATTATCAGTTGAGTAGTGGTAGTGTTAGGTTGACGAAAAAAAAATGTCTATAATAAGGTCTTGAGTCATTAAGTCTTAGCGTTAGCTGTCTTTTTGCTCTATAATACTTTGCTACTTATCTATCTTAAGTAAGAAACCCTTCGAAAGAGTTCGTCAACAACATTCTGGTTGGAATGTATTTTTTTATATAGCATTTGTTGCAATCATTCCTACTGACGTATTTTTGATCTAACCGCTTGAAATTACTGAAAACGAATTGTAAGCGGTCCCTATAGTAATCATTAGCACGTGGGCAACAATACAGTCCAATTGTAGACCATGCTTTTTTGAGTGCGTGTAGTCCAAATGTGAATAGTATAGTCCACATATAGCACATATAGTCCACGGGGAGGGGGGGAGAGGGGAAAAAGCACTGCTCCCCGGCAATTTTTTGTCCAGAAAACAATTGTCGTCAAGGTATTGCTTCCCGTTATTATAAAAGATTCGGATTACTTGTCCTACAGCTCTATCATCAGCTGGTATAAAAAAATTCTGTATGGACACTACACCACTAAAGGACGATTAGATCGAAGTTCTCTCCAGCTATTTTTCCTGTCTAAGTCTGGGTGAAAGCTCTTAAAGCTAAAAATGTTTACCTTCAGATAATTCCTGCCGAAATCTTACGCCTAGAGCTTGACGTCCTTGATGCATCTTTACCTGCAAACAAACAACAACTCGTGCGTCTCAAGACTCGTTTGTAGTGAGTAGAATTCTGTTCATTTTGCTTGCTCTGTTTCTTGTGGCATTTGAAGCTCAACTGTTGGTGATTCCGCCACCCATCCTTGGCTACCTCCTAGAATTCCTCGTGAGCCTTAAAATCACAATTTTTTTCTTTTCAGTTATAAACAAGCTAAATATAATTTATTGCGTGAAGAAAGCGAAGGCTATGCTAAGTTGATTACGGAGTTAATGGATTCTGGTGGCGGTCTGCCGGCCAAGACCATGATGACTCGTGTATTGTGTCTTATTGGTGAGTATCTGGAAAGTTAGGGTTACCTTTTATTCTTTAACAGTAGTAATAAATAATGGCACCATTATTGTCTTTTCACTTCCTTCCGTTATGTACCACAGGGAGCATTCATGCAGATAGGGGTTATTTTTTAGGCCAATTCAACTTGGATCCTAATCGAGTGATTGATATTGCGCTCGAATGCTATGAATGTTGCGTTTCTCAGAAAGATTTCTATATATCGTTGCTGAAGGAAATTAAAGCTAACAAGGATTATCTTTGTACCCTGCTTGGATTCAAGTACACTTTTTATCACGTGAGTGATCCATTTGAACATATTCTTCTCTGAATTAATCAATTGTAGTGAAAAATGGGGAAGTTTCTTATTCGGGATTTCGGAACCTTTTTCTTCAAATTAGTTATCATATTTGGTAGCCTCTTGTAATAAGGAAAGCTCTCAGTGTCATTCATAGTAGGTGTCGGTACCGGTACCGGCGCCCAGTCAGATCGAATGGGTACAGGTATTTCATGTATGGTCTCAATATTCTCTTCTTCCGATAAACATCCCGCACATTCTTTCCTTTGTTGCCGAACTGAAACCCATACAGATTCCAGTTACTATTTCTAGGCTGCTGGAAAAGAAACTCCATTCTCTTTATATGTTGTCACTTCATCGTTACTACGCGAGGAAATGATAGATCTCATGAAAATCACTGGATTTGTAAGTCACGTTGTCACCTCTAGTATGCAAAATTCAGTCGATCTGATTGCAGATGGTTCCAAAAGCCGAAGGTATCAAGGAGACTCATCGTGCAAGGGCGGCGAAAGCAGGCGAAAGGGCAAGAAAGGTGAATAAACAGTATCTTAATAAACGAGCCTTGTCATCCTGTTTTACATTGTCTGGGAACTCGTAGTCTGCTCATCTAATGTAATGACTCACATTGAAAAGAACATTCCCATTCATTTTATCTTTGCCGAAGAAATCCACCCATAATCCGCTTCGTGTCTTCTTGGATTCATAGACAAAAGCATTATAGGCTGAGACTATTCTGGCTTCAAATATACCAGTGGATGTGTCACGCAATGTGAACGTCGATGTCATGGACACTGGGCAGTCCATTACTGGCGTGTCGTTTGCAACAGTTGCCGCAATACAAGAAGCTGATGACGCCAAACTTGCTGCTGAGCTCAACGAGGTTGTTTTGAATTTAAAAAAGTTCTTTAAATGTTTTTATTGATGCTTTGGGAAAAGCGCATTCTTTTAGGACGCAGTTCTGTCTACAAATCAGAAGCTTGGCTTAGTCTGCGCCCTAATAGAAGATGGTGCGTGGCCATTGGCAAAAACTCTGATCGATCGCCTACCTGAATACTACGCGGTACAAGCAAGGTACAATCCTCTTCTTTTTAATGCCAATCATAATTGAAGACGTGAAAATGTTAAAACAAACGATGAGTAAAATCCAGTAAGTGAAAATTTCGAGGCCTGAAAAATTTGAGCATCCTACCCAGTTTTCTCACATGTATTCGCGAAAAGCATCCTGATTTTGTATGAAACTGTGTGGGAATGGGAGATTTTGTCTTTGTTCAACGATGTGAATGTAAACAACTTGATTATTCTATAAGCTTTGCTCTATTCATATCTTATTCAGCTCCCGTGTCAGCAACGCAATCTCTGATCTTATTGGCAAAGCAATAGAGAATTTCTACTTGGAAAAGTGTTCAAGCAGATTCGAGGATCTAAATTTAAGCGTAAAAAGGGACAGCTGCACTGCTGTATCTGTAGAGCAAGTGAGTTTCAATTCATCAAATAACTCTGTTTGTTGCTAGGGTGAAGCTTTCTATACTCCTTGCTTTCTTTTGTAAAATCTGTTATTGACTTTTCAATTCACTTCAAGGTAACCTCGTGGACTGGGCTCGCCTCCCTTACCTCTATGTTATGGTATGTCGGCCCTCGTTTGGCTTATCGACCATTGATAATGACGAGGCTTGTACGCTTGATTACCGCCTTTTACCGTGAACAGCCTAAAGGAACCGATGGAGTACCTGCAGACTCACCAGGTATTTTTTTCTTCTGGTATTAACGACAAGTACTTTTTCCTAGAATGAATACCTCTGCTTATTCTATTTTGATCTTTTTTGCGAATAACGCTCCTGCTCTCAATTGAGAAGTTGCCTCATGTAAATAGCGCACCTCCTCTCGATTAAGAAGTTGCCCCATGCTGTTCTCTTTTTCAGTTGAACGAGCATCTTTCCATTATTTTTATTTACATTGGTGATAGGCATGTGCACGAGCGCAGCCACTAGTGCTGATTGCCAAATCCCCGGCTTTTCTATGCAAGATCCGGTTAGCTGAGTGTCAGTTGACAAATATGAGGGAGCATCACTAGTTTTTTGCCGTTCGCTAACATATTTCACTGTAATAGACATAAACTTACGTCAAGACTATACTGCAACATACCATTTGCTTTTAACGCACTTAGCCCACCGTTGCACGGATCTCGTGATACTCTCAGAAGGCTACTGCCCGAGAAAAAGTCACGAATGCAGGGCTTCTCTCTACTCATTGTGCGAGGTGAATCGCTAGACCCTTATTGCTTTCTTGACTGGACCAAACAAGGGGTAGGTAAATGACGCATGATCAGTATATACGAAGGTAGGAAACTTACCTCGAACTTGAGCTTCCAAAACACTTCAATAAGTTACTTGATAGCTTCGTTGTGAATAATTGATGCCATAGCTTCGCATTCGAGATTGTGCCATCAGTTATCCACAATGTAGTGTCATTCAAGACTTAAATCCGGTCATGGCTCGCTCGTTCATATGATAGAAGGTTGAGGACGCAAGCCGATTATGCATGCCGTCCAACAACAATTTTGCTCATTTCGTATCTTGACGGTTTATCCGACCTTTTTTTGAATTTTTTCTCTCTATAAAGCAATTTTTATATGAGAACCTTGTGGTTCAATTGAAGATTAAAGTGCTCTCCATTTTGTAGTTGCACGATCTATGATAGACATTGTGGATGAGATTGTTTTGCCCGGTTTGTCTTTGTCTGAGTTCAATAGTGGTCTGTCGGAGGAAGTTTGGACACTGCTACAGTTTTTCCCTTACACGTGGCGCTATCGTCTTTACGGGCAGTAAGTTCTTCAACTCATTTCTATATTAACGCTGTGCCCAGAACTTTTTGTGTACGTACGTTTCTTAGTCGTTCAACTTTTGCAGCTGGAAATTCGGTAATACAATGCGGCATCCTGAAGTAAACATCGTGCGCGGCAAGGTTCTTGGAAGGACGAAATATGTGTTGAAGTCAGTGCTGAAGATCGGCGTATATCTCAAGTACCCCAAGATGTAACTTCAAATTTGATATCCTCAATGCATCAGGAGACTATCTAAAGAAACTGTGCGAGTGATGGGAAGGCAGTTGGGAAAGTTATGTCACGTCCATCCGATTACTGTGTTCGACTACTTGCTTAGTCAGGTATTTTTTCAAGTTTTCAAGTTGTTTGCTTTTGATGATTTTGGCTGGTTGGTCTTTAAAAAACCCATATTCTGTGAGGAAGCTGCTTAAGTTTGATTATTGATACTTGACTCCTTCACACAACTCTTTGTACAGATCTGCGACATTTTCCTTCTTTTTCCCTTTTGACGGTGAATCCTTACTAGTTGATTCTATGGTTTAGGTACAAACTTTTGACAACTTGATACAGCCAGTTGTGGAGAGTCTGAAATTTCTCACAAATTTGGAATTTGATATTTTGACATGTAAGGGCTTTTTTCGTTGCTTTCTTCAGACAATTCCTTTACTTCAGTTCTTCCGTATTATTCACAATCTTCAGATTGCATTATTGAACAGCTCGCCAGTCCTGATAAACAACAACTAAAAGCATCGGATGGAAAATTGAGTCCATGGTTGCAAGCTCTTGCAACATTGGTTTGTCTTTTCTTAAGTAGTCTAAGGCTCTTGTGACTTGAACTCGAGTGCCCACTCAGTCGATAAATGTTACATTTCCTTAGTACTTTCACTTGTAAAGAAGGTTGCACGCACTTGAGCTTTTTCAACATTTGAGGTCGTTAATCATCTCAACAGAATAATCTCCTTAACCTAACGTTGTCTTGAGGTTGGTGCCGTCTATAAGAAGTACAATGTTGAACTAGCGGGAATGCTCAATTATGTCATGAACCAGTTGAAGAACGAAAAGAGGTATTTTAACAATAGTTACAGGCTTTATATTATTCTATCTCGGCATGGTATTAGCTCGACATACACGGAGCCAGTGGTATTCAGTATGTGGCAGTGCTTACCCTCATGATTTCGAAGTCTCGATTTTTTGATCTTATCAATAGTCACTCATCGGGGGATAAAATTCCTCTCTCTATGGGGTTTACTGGCGCAGTGACCTTTCTATAACTCAACAGCATGATCATTTATGTAAAGTGATGGTAGGAGAATAAGTCTTTCTGGCTTTTTTTCAGCTTCGATCTACTTGTGCTCCGTGAAGTCATCCAAAATATGGCATGCATCGAAGGCGTAGCTGGTGCTACAGCCGATCAGCTGGAAGCATTAGGAGGTGGTGAACTGTTGAGACAAGAGGTATTTATAATATTATAGTATATCGATATCGCTCATGGTCATAAATTGATTTCTCTTAAAACAAGGCATCTGAAAGACTGGGTACCTCCAATGAATGCTACCTCATTTACAGGCTGGAAGTTTTACGAATGCAAGGAACAAGCGTGCATCTGCTCGGTTACGAGATGCTGTGTTAGCCGGTGACATTGCGGTTGGATTGTGCATCTTGATTGCCCAGCAGAGGGAGTGTGTCGTATATCGCGAAAGTTCCCGTCTGCCATTGAAATTGGTTGGGGAAATGGTGGATCAGGTACGTGTCCTCTTGTTCTTCAACAACACTGGCATGCTGCAAGGTATGCTTAATAAGCTACTGTGTCCAGCCACTTACTCATTACTTATTCTTGGTGCCCGTTAAGCGGTTGCGAAGAAGTTCATCTATATTTTTTATTCTTTTGAGATCATTTTACCTATTTTATTTTGATTCCTTCTCTCATAGTGCCGTGACACNTTACTTCAACTGGGCACATTTCTTTGGTCCAATGTCCGAATGGATGATTATGCTCAGCGGATTCCTCCAGCCGTCTCCCTTATCCAAGATTATCATCTTCGTATTGATGCTGCCATGTACCTCACAAGACCGACGTATCTTCCCAAGGTAGGTTGTTTAGAAATCAAAATAATATCGTCATATTTCTCTTCAGAATTGAAGGTAGACACCAATTTTCACTCTCTGAAGACCCTGAATAACCTTCACTGGCGTTCGACCGCAGGAGCTAGTAGCAATAGCGCCTCAGAACCAAGACAGATGTTTACTTATCTCCAGCTGCAGCTTTAGTAGAATTTCGGGCAGCAAAATAGTGAGGGATGAGGAACATAATTAAATGTTATAGGAAAAGTAATAACTGATCTTTTTTTACTTCAACACAGTTATAGTCAACAGACTATGTAAGGAGCCGAAACTTCTCCCTTTCAATCATCTGTAGCTGAGAGGCAACGTTCTTCTACACCACTGAAATTCACTGAATCAATAAGATTTTATAGATTAACAGTTCCTATGAGGCGGCAAAACGAGCTATGAAATCGGAGAGTGAGAATAAGAAAATGGATACACAGCAAAAGGTGCGTTTCAAAAGCTTACGCGATTTGTATTTGTCGAGATATGAGGCGGCTTATTGTTAGAACGAGTATCATTCCTCTAGATCAGTTAAGCTCCCAACAGTCGCTGCCTTTGAGAGGGGAACATAACTCTGTATGTGATACCTTCAGTAACAGTTTTTTTTTTTGAAAAAACGCGATGAATGCGAATCCGCACGTCTTTTTTGTTTTTCAAAGCTTTTTTGTGAGTCAGTTGGATACTAATTGTAAGTCTTGTGCTGGTTCTTGAACTTGGCCACGCGGGACTTGGTTAGTAGGCGATCCACGAACACGAAACGAACGATAGCTCACAGGTTAACCGCAGCACAGAAGACTCCTCAAACTTGGGTAATTAAACTTT